CGAAAAAAGTCCCAAAAAAATATCTTAAATTTCTTCTATTGTTTTTTAGGAGTTTAATTTTTGTAACTATGATTGCAGTGTTTTATTTTTGAATTATCTTCATATCATATGCCTTAGTTGATTGTTGGTTGAAATTAACAAAAACAGAAAATACGGTTGACCTTATATAAGAACAAGTCGGCCAGACCATTTTTCGGTCGACCGTTAATCAACGCGTTTGACCGTCCAAGTTAACGGTCAAAAGTCAGATCTGGCCAAATTGTTTATTTTGATGTATAGTTTGGGCCAGGATGTTATAGATCGAAAAGATTGGTCAAGATGTTTATTTTGGTCAAAGTTCAGGCCATACAGAAATATTAACCCTTTTACAAAACCCTAAAGCTAAAAAAATGGGATTTCTCTATTCTGTTCACCAGAATTGGTCGACCGATAATTTAATGAGGTCGACCGATATTTTTTTTACTCCAAATGTAATGCAAATGCCTCGGCCCATTCTTGTTTTTGATTAAGTAAGGTCGGCCGATGATGTTTTTGAGGTCGACCTATGATGTTTTTTACTAGTCTTGGCCTTCTTCTTCTTCTTCTTCTTCTTCTTCGACCCATTCTCGTTTTTTATTAACTGAGGTCAACCTATGATGTTTTTGAGGTCGACCTATGATGTTTTTTACTCCAAATGTTATGCAAATGCCTCGACCCATTCTCATTTTTTATTAACTTAGGTCGACCTATGATGTTTTTGAGGTCGACCTATGATGTTTTTTTACAAGTCTTGGCCTTCTTCTGCGACCAATTCTCGTTTTTTATTAACTGAGGTCGGCCTATGATGTTTTTTGGGTCGACCTATGATGTTTTTGACTCCAAATGTTATGCAAATGCCTCGATCAATTCTCATTTTTTATTAACTGAGGTCGACCTATGATGTTTTTTAGGTCAACCTATGATGTTTTTGACTCCAAATGTTATGCAAATGCCTCGACTCATTCTCGTTTTTTATTAACTGAAACTTATGATTTTTTTGAGGTCGACCTATGATGTTTTTACTAGTCTTGGCCTTCTTCTTCTTCGACCCATTCTCATTTTTTGATTAACTGAGATCACCTATGATGTAATAAGGTTGATCTATGATATTTTTTACTCTAAATGTTATGCAAATGCTTCGACCCATTCTCGTTTTTTATTAACCAAGGTCGACTTATGATGTAATGAGGTCGACCTATGATCTAATGAGGTCTCAAAATGTTATGCAAATGTTTCAACCCATTCTCGTTATTTATTAACTGAGGTCGACCTATGATATTTTTAACTCAATTCTGCTTGCATACCAAGGTCGACCGTTGATCGAAAGAGGTCGACCTATTTATGTTTTTGTATCATCGATTTATGTTAATGTTGGGGTTATTGATTTTGCTTGCAAACAGAGGTTGACCTATGATGGAAAGAGGTCAACCTATCGTTGTTTTGTTTTGTCTATGCATGTAGTGTATAGGTCGACCTGTTTAGGGACAGGTCAACCTAGTCTTGTTGGTTTCAAAAATGTTCCTAACGTGAATTGTCACTTGTTTGATCTCAGGATGTTTGGAAGAAAAAATAAAAGAAATTCAGAAAAACCGGTTGCCTCAAGCTCTGAATGGGAAGAGTTCAACCCACTCTATTCTAGAGCAAGGAGCAAAATGACAAATATGAAGAGAGGAGAATGCACAACCGCAAGGTGGCTCTCCTGGAAGGCCACTGACGACCGATGCATATTCTCATTTCGAAAATTACGAGTTTCTAGCACCATTTGTGGAACAAGAGTGGTTGAAGGTGATATCTCTCAATGCACCATAATACCCAAAAATGGTACAGTACTTCTACAACAACATTGTCTATCAGCATAATGCAAATGGATTGATTCATTCTTTTAAAAGCTATGTGAATGGGGTGGAGATGCGCATCAACAAGAATGTGTTGGCAGAAGTACTGGAGACTCCAAACCAAGGGAAGAGAATCAGTTCTTACAGTGTTTGGAATGAAACTCATTTCCCGAGAACCAAGCAAATTCAGACTGTATGTGGTCTTGCTAAAGAGGAAGATGCTCAGGATTGCAGTAGGCCAACGATCCACCAGCTGACAGTTCAAGCCAGAGTTCTTCACCACATGCTTTCCTACAACATTCTGCCAAAGGGTGGACATCGGGAGGCAGTCACCTACTTCGACATGGAGCTCCTCACCAACCTACTTTCAAATGAGAAGGTGAACTTGCCATACTTGATCTTTAACCACATGCTTGCTGCTGCAGAGAGTTCAACAAGGAATCTTCCCTACGGGATGATCTTGACTTTGCTATTTGAGCATTTTAATGTGGATTTAAGTGGTGAGGTTGGCTTAAGAATCTCAAGGCAGGAGTTCTATACAGTTTCATCTCTGAAAAATATGGAATTTGAGTTGCGTAATGGTAAGTATGTCCGATTACACAATGCTCATGGTGTCCATAGTGGTGATGATGATGAGGATGATGCTGATGAAGGAGCCGGAGACGAGCCAATAGCGCAGGCACAACGTTCAACTCCACCGGACACCTTAGAGCATATGTGGGAGCGCATGGATGGCATGTAAGACTACATGGGCCAGATTTCCACCCAGATGACTGGCATGTACGACTACATGGGCAAATGACCACCCATATGAGCACACTGCAGGTGACCGTGAATGAGATGCGAGATGAGTTTAGATCTTTCAGTGGAAGATACATGCATCCTGCCACATCCGACTACCATAATGCTAGCAACACCAATGAAAAAAATGTGGATGAGGGAGAGAGGGGAGAAGAGTAGGAACTCGACAATTTTAGATTGTGTGTTTTTGTTGTTAAGTGTTAATGATTGTGGATTGATATTATGTGGTTTTAGATTTTAGTTATGTGTGAGCAATTATGATTTGTGTTTTATTGTATTTCTTGTTAGTATGTTTAATTGTTATGTTATAAAGTTATGAGTCTTTGCTATCATTATTTAGGACTAATTCTGTTGGTTTGAAAAGTAATTTGTACGAGCAAAAGAACCACCCACATCGACATACATAAGCAAAAAAGACGCAGGGGATAAGTTGATTTTCCTGTATTCGGTCGACCTCGTACCGGATTAGGTCGATCGCGAAACCAATACTCTTGATCTTCATTTTACGTCAAATGGTGATGGATAATGGATACAACACTTCTCTTCTTCTGGTCGACCTCTTTTTGTAAATGGTCGACCATTTTGTTAATGACCGCCATCAAGTGGTCGACCTATCAGTGGTGTAGCCAGGATTTTAATTAAGGTGGGTCCAACGAAAAAAAATAAACACTTATAAAATAAATTTTTTAAATATTTAAATAACCCACGACATATTTTTGTAGTTTGTCGATTGATTTTCATTTGAGTATGGAGAATTCGGCACTAAATTAGAAATTAGTAAACTCAAATCCAATAATTATAGAACAATTTCATGTTAAATCGAGAGTTATTTACTTAATATGCAAGGTTAATGTGTGCACAACGTTATGTACAATCTAATGGTAGACAAGTAAACCTAGTGTACATAGCGTATTTGGTTTGAGTATTGTGAATTGTATACAAATATCGTAATTTTTGGCGTCATAATCTGAGCCAGGGTGGGTCCCTGGACCACCCTATCCTAAGTTGGCTCCGCCACTGCGACCTATATACCTTTACGGTCGACCATTTTTCTTCTGCTGCCAATGAAAAGGGTGGCCGATGTTTTATTGTGGTCGACCAACAATGACAACTTAAACTACAAACGGTCGACCACTATATTTTAAAGGTCGACTGTGATAAGTCATCAGGGTGCCCACATTAGTATATTCGGTCGACCCCTTTTAGAATTAGGCCGACCGAAAAGTACAAGTTACGGTGACATGCATGTCACCATAGGCGCACCCCCAATTTTAGTCTACTCATTTTGGTCGAACGCAAATGAGTCTATATAATTATTCATACGAAATAACAATATCGATCATCCAACTATTCATATTAAATCAATTCACACCTTCAATATTGGTGTTTCCAAATTCATGTTTGTTTTATAATAATGAAAAAGGTAAAAGTCCGAGAAAATCACTTGTTTGACCGAGTATAGACCTATTTTTTCTGTATCTCAAAGTATTTTTTTCTTTTTTTAAACTTATCTCAAAGTATCTTTAAAATTGAAGGACTTAATTATTTGATTTGGAATAAAAGGTTTGATTTAAACTAAAATTAACTACTTAATTGATGTAAAGTGAAATTGATGACCAAATTGAACGACTTAATTATCTAGTAAATGAGTACCATAAAAGAGGAAGGGAGGAAAAAGATATCGCCTAATTACTTTATGCGTCGAATCTAAGACTATTTTTTTAACATAGACATTTATTAAGATTGTAGCCAAGTAACAGCAGTGGCGTAACCAGGATTTCTCATAGGATGGTTCTGATGCAATACCAAAAATATATAACATAAAATTTATTAATGTTTACAATTACCCACAAAGTGTTTTTATATTTTGAAAACACTATAAAATACATTACATCATCCAAATTATCCAGGATGTCACTCTTGACAAAAAAAAATCCAACACGTCATCACTCATTCGACTCCGCAATGTGTTCTTCACATGTTCGTTGCAGAAAATACTCTTTCAACACCTGTTGTAGCAACTCGTAGCAACAACACCAATTTCACAAACCGATACACCAATGGAAACGGTCGGAAACATTGCAAGGTAACATTAATGGTGCAATTAGCCCCAATTATTGAAGATATAAGTTCAATCTCGTGAAGCTGCTATAATTTGTTAGGGATAGATTATAAATTATAATCCTTTACTACTAGATCAACCCCGGTTTATAGATTCGTAAGTTTTTTCTACGTGTTAGGCTATAATGTGTATGCATTGATAGTTTATTGTGCGGAATGCTGTTGATCATCACTGACATACATTAGCCAAATTCTTCCATATATTTTGTAATTTCTTCTGGATTATGTGATTTTAACTATTCATTGTTTCTGGTATTGATTGTGTAACTTTTTTATATGGAGCTTGTTCAACCATTCAGCCAAACACCGAGATACGATGACCGATCGCCGGGAAATGCTGCATGCCACCAGAACCCGTTCGCCGTCGCTAAAATCCGATAGCCATTTTCGATTAGATATACCCTTGTATCCAATACAGTTTTTCCATCTAACAAATAACAATATCATTTGCCGACGGAAGAAAGCATTGCATCACGAACAGTACTGTAATAGAATTTGCAACAGTTGAACTCGTCTCCTCAAAGAACCTTAATTTACCAAAATCACACTTTATATATCCTCTATTCGAATCTAGCACTTAACAAGATCAAGGAAATGAATAAAAGACATGTTGAAACAGAAGAAAAATAAAGCAGGTATAACCTAACCGGATTATACATCCACGGGGTGTACTCCGAACCTCTCCGTTCGATCTCATCAGTTATTTTTTCCAGCCGAAAATTGGGGGATCTCATACCGCTCCCTACTGTCCTACTGTAAATCATCATTCTGAGTTCTGACACTAAGTTTAGTTCGTACGAGGTACGAGAAGAGCCGAGCATCAAACTGTCAGGGGGTTATTGCCTAACGGTACTTGAAGCGCCTTCTTCTACTAGTTCAGGTCCTGAAGGCTGCTGGGGTGGAGACTTTGGAGGTGCACTTTTCCACAAGTTCTTTGCGTATAAAGAACCAAAGACGATAACCTGGAAAAATGACCACCAGAGAAATTAGTACAACTGCGAGAGCAGAGTAATGAAAACAGGGTTCGAAAGAGACAATGACTTACAGATCCAATCACTTGCTCCCAACTAAGAGGGTGAGAGAACCACACACATGAGAGCAAGATGCTCACCAGCTTTGAACACCAAAGCAGCAGAATCAGAAAAGTGCCGATTAAGTTAACAAAGGTTGCAATGTCGCGAATACAATTCATGCTTCTGTACCTGTCTTGTTGTCATTATGGCAGCAAATGTCAGAGCACCAAAGGTTCGTATTGTGTAGGAAATAAAGAATTGACTAGCAGTCGCTACCTGAAAGGAACAAAAACAATTCTTTAGGTTTCAGCTCCCTCAGTGAGTTGAGCAAAACAAAAGAAGGTCGTGACCATATAAAGGTGACATCAGATTCTTGTGAGCAATATATACTAAAAGAGTCTGATACATAGGGTTGATATGAAAAACAAGGAAATACAAAGGAAAAGATTACTCACTGTCGAAAGCAACGCTACATCAAGGAAACAATCGTGATGGCGATGAATGAAGTCTATTGCTAGCAGTAGATGTCCTTGTAGTATAAGACCTACCGCAGAAGCAACAGGTTATTGCTATTTTTCACCACCGGATACTCCAAAAGACATGAAAAAGTCATTCTATTAAATAGAAAACAAAGTTATGTGCTCCAAGCATTAACATTAATCTCAATGGCATGGTTCAGAAACATTTCTAAGCAATATAACTAAGCAACCTGGATGAATTGACATGTGAACAAAAAACCCAGAAACAATGCAATTTATCACATGGAACTGCAGCTAATACATACATGCATATAGCAGCTTAAAATAAGATTTTCAAGGGGAGGGAATGAGAGAGTGCAAGAATGGGAAAGTCACCTGTGAAACTAAGAAAACAGGAACACAGTGTTGTGTAGAAGATTTGGTTGTGTATTTCCATTTCATAACCTTTGAATAGCTTATCCTGGAACGTGCTTGTAAACCCATCAAACCTGTCAGCAATGCAGATGACTAATTCAGCCATATTCACAATGCTTTCTGAAAAACCCAACTGCAAATCCTGCTTAGCCCTTTCCATGCTATAGAAGTTCACCAAAATATGGATATGCAGACAACCAGTTAGACTTTTAAAGAAGTGAAAATGAAACTCTAATTAGGGTGAAATATATAGTTTCAAGAACCAAGAAGTGGGATTGAAGCATACTACAGGATGCCTTCTCGATCAATGTAAAATACACATGCCCATTACGTGTCATCAAGAACGGAACTACAATAATTATATACCATTAAATGCAACAAATAGTTCATATTTGTTGGTAATACAAAGTATTTCACTTTATTCTATCATGCACAAGTTACCAACATCTCAAAATACATTTAACACAAGAAAATATGGGTTTCATATAGTACCCAAGATAACCGAGCATCAAAGAAACTCCCCAAACAGTATTTTCCCTTCCTCTGCTGTATGGACTTAGATCAGTTCCCGCCTATAATCAAGTCAGAAAATCATTTAATGTGCCATAATCAACATAATGATATAGAAAATTCTGTAGGGAAAAGGAGACTCAGAAAGCAAGTATCTTCCCACAATCAAGATGACTACAAGATACAAATCACGATTACATCCACCGTGAAACATGAGTAAAGAAAAAGAGGTTCTAATTCTAGAAGAAGAGATAAAACGCAGTTAAGCCAGAGACTATTGCTTACCGGGAACAAAATGAAGACTGAACAACCAATGGTCACTAGAAAAGCCAGCAAGTAATCTTTTCCCTTGTATGTCTTTTGCATGATGAAAGTTCCCCATATCTGTAAAAGAGAAAAGAACAAAGGAATCGAAGCTTAATCCCAATTCTTAACACAACAAGGAGTCCAAACATTGAAGACATCATATCATTCATTCCAGAACCAATTCATAGAGCAGCCTTTTGCTCATAATGTTCAAGTTCTATATTACAGATAAACTACTCCTCTCCAAGGAAATATAAAAGAAGCACAGTTATCCATGTGGAAAATGCCTAGTAGAAAAGGAATAGAAAGATCAAGAATGAGGGGTATGACTATAAAAGGTACTGGATCAACATTCTTAGTGTGCTTTGAGGTTTTGGGTTAGCATTAACGATCACAAAAGGCCTAGTAATCATCAGCTACCACAAAACAATGCTACTACTGCTCTATGTTATTCTAACACTTCATGGCAGCAGTTGGAGAGCCTCTAGGAGATCGCCAATGAACATAAAAACAAAAAGAAATGAAAGACAAACGTCCACAGGTTAATTGGACTAAGCACACTGCCCAAAAAGGCAACATCAATAACACATTAAGGACAGAACTGAACTTACCATAACAGGAATCATCTTGGCACACTTCGCAAGTGTCTGGACGGGAAAACTAACATACTTGAGGGCCTGGAGCAGAGATATAGTCAGAAGAAAACAAAGTCAATTGCAACAAGAACCTCTCAACACTTCAAATGATACTCAAGTTTGGAAATTTAACAAATTTTTGCCTGCATAGAGTCTGACACAAAATATAAAGAGCACCAACAACATTAACAAATGGGATGTGTTTAATTTGGAGTCCAGAGAAACATTCATACCTCATACTGACATGTTGTAGTCAATATGTTGGAAATCGATATGAGGCAGTACTTGTAAACTGGAGCAACGGGATCCAACGCCTTCTTACTTGCCTAGAAAAACAAAAGGAAGAAAGCTGAAAATTAATTGAATCCATCCATCCATCATCTCAATCTCATTATCAATAATTCAAGTCTTAATACTACCCGCCAACCAATTGAAAAAGGAAATCCACTTAGCAGAAGGGGAAATCAACTAATGCGGAGTCCTTACCACGAGAGAAATAGCAGATACAGCAGATGTTGTGACCCGATTGCAGAATACAAGGAAAAGAGAGTACTTAAAATACTCTTTATTAACCCCATATGGCACTCTCATGATCTTTTCCTGCACAAGAGTAAGATTGCAGTCAATGAAAAAGCCTCTATGACACTACAGAAGGCGGCCAAACAAGGCACATTGCGTAGCTATACTGAATGGGGGAAGAAATACCGCCAACATCAATTAGGCATTGCCTCGAACAGAGTTCTAGCATCTTCATTGGAATGCCTCCTCCCAATCTGCGAAACTGACCTAATAATCTCTATGATTCTATGCCCTAATCTCTACCAACTAGTCCTACCAAGCTAAACGAATGTTCGTCGCACAGTGCACTCAAACTGACGGAAGAGGGGAGAAGAAGATCACCTGAAGAACACCGTAGATCACGAGAGTGCTCATGATTCCTCCGACGGCGAAGACCCCTTTCCATAGCTTGCTCTCCTTAACAGCACCTAACGACATCGAATCAGCCATGCCTCCATTCAGCACCATAACATCGCCGGCCACAATCTAATGCGAAAAAAGAACAACAATCATAAACGTAAGGAAGACAGCAGCATACGCCAATCAGGAACGAAAGGAGGAGAAGAAGCACATGGTGGAAAAGTAGCGCGGCAACGAGAATAAGAAGCGGCGCACCTCGGGGCAATCGGCGCTGGGGGGAGGGGAAAACGAAGCCCACGGGCGAGTCCGGATGGGAGAGCAGGACAGATGAACAGTCGGTGGACAGTGGCCGGAAACGAGAAAACTGGAGGTTGGGAGCTGGGGGGGAAACAGAGACGGAGAAGGGACGGTGGTCGTGGTGAAAATATCACTGTTTTCCTCCTCCTCGGCGTCGCCGGCGCGGCTCTTTTCCTCTTTGGGTGTTCCCTTTTTTTCCTGAGTAGTTTCGGTCCGTATTAGAGTCGAGTCTTTGGGCCTTCCTAAAACTTGAAAGTTGAAAGGAAAAAGGCGCTTTGTGGTTTTGCCACTCCAGGCAGGCTCCAGTTGAAATCTGAATCCGCTCAAACAAACAACTTTAATAAGGTTCTCAACCCGCGGGTTGACCCGGATCTAGTCGAAATAGTGGGTCAAGAGTTAATAGGTCACTTGTTTTAGTCCGTTTTAGCCAGGAAATATGAAAAGAGAATTCTGATAAATTATATAAAATCACATCTAACATATGAGTAATAATATATAACATTACACCAAAGTAATATGTCGTACTTAGATCCAACATATAGTGAAAATTCACAGACACTTATATAACATCAATATTCAAATGTTCAACAAAGGATTCCAAAGATTGAGTTAGGCGAAAAGAAAAATCGGAAAATAGGTGCATTTCGCAAAACAAAGTATTCCTTTTGTTCTTTTTATAGTGAAAGGAGTTGGGAAGAGGTTGTTAATAATAGATTACCGAGAGAGATAGGTAAAAGAAATTTCCATCCAAGATTTAATAGTTGATCCATTCTCAGTCTAGGTAAAGTCCATCTTGTTGTGATAGAGATGAACAAGAACAAATAAGTTTTAACCAATGTACTAAAGATACCAATTGTTATTCCAAAGACTCTACCCACGTTATTTATTTCCAAAAATTCAGTCATGAATATGTACGGAATAAAGATATTCCAACCGCCCAAGTAAAGAATTGTTACAAATAATGAAGAAACTAATAAGTTTAGATAGGAAGCAACATAAAATAAATCAAATTTGATACCCGAGTATTCTGTTTGATAACCTGCTACTAATTCTTCTTCTGCTTCTGGTAAATCAAAAGGCAATCTCTCGCATTCTACTAGGGAAGAGATTAAAAAATGATAAATCCTATAGGTTGACGCCACAAATTCCAACCCCAAAAACCATATATTGATTGTGCCTCAACTATATCAACTGTACTTGAACGGTTAGATAATCATAGTCGGTGATCATATCACTATTCCCATCGCTATTACAGAACCCGTGCGTTGACAACCTTGAACTTTAACAAGTTTTCATTATTTTATTGATGGTAAAGGGGTTTTCGGATGCATTATTTGTTGAGATGTATTTTTAATTTCAATTCACTCATGTTTTGGCTACATGGTATTTATGTGTTATTATGTGACAATTGAATTTAAATATCTTGTTTGAGAGCCCTTCTAGTGTGTTCTATAGTACTCATGCTATAAAAAACAAAAACAAAAGGTGACTTGTTGAGGAGGTAAACCCACTAAATGACTGGTCCCACATCATTAATGGCAATCTTGTAAATAATGAATCAATGCATACAAGTGTAGGTACAAATTAGAGTTGTACCATATCGTATAGGAACAAGTTTCAGCTGTACCATTGAAGAATTTGTTTCACAAAGTGTAGGTACAACTCAAAATTGTACCTAGCGTGTAGGTATAATTTTAGGTTGTACCATAGAGTTTTTTTTGTAAAAGTGTAGATACAACTTAAAGTTGTACATGGTATAGGTACAAGTTTGGGTTGTACCATAGAAGGATTTTTAGAAAGTGTAGGTACAACTTAAAGTTGTACCATCAGTATAGGTACAATTTTGAGTTGTACCATAAAGAGATTTGTTAGAAAGTGTAGGTACAACTTAAAGTTGTACAATGGTATATGTACAAGTTTGGGTTGTACCATTGAAGGATATTTAGAAAGTGTAGGTACAACTTAAAGTTGTACCATGGTATAGATACAAGTTTGGGTTGTACCATAGAAGGATTTTTAGAAAGTGTAGGTACAACTTAAAGTTGTGCCATCAGTATAGGTACAATTTTGAGTTGTACCATAAAAAGATTTGTTAGAAAGTGTAGATACAACTTAAAGTTGTACCATTAGTATAGGTACAATTTTGAGTTGTACCATAAGGGATTTGTTAGAAAGTGTAGGTACACCTTAAAGTTGTACCATGGTATAGGTACAAGTTTGGGTTGTACCATAGAAGGATTTTGAGAAAGTGTAGGTACATCTTTAGGTCGTACCATTAGTATAGGTACAATTTTGAGTTGTACCATAAAGGGATTTGTTAGAAAGTGTTGGTACAACTTAAAGTTGTACCATGGTATAGGTACAGGTTTGGGTTGTACCATAGAAGGATTTTTAGAAAGTGTAGGTACCACTTAAAGTTGTACCATGGCATATGTACAAGTTTGGGTTGTACCATAAAAGAATTTTGAGAAAGTGTAGGTACAACTTAAGGTTGTACCATAAAGGGATTTGTTAGAAAGTGTAGGTACAACTTAAAGTTGTACTATGGTATAGGTACAAGTTTGGGTTGTACCATAGAAGGATTTTTAGAAAGTGTAGGTACAACTTTAAGTTGTACCATGGTATAGGTACAAGTTTGGGTTGTACCATAGAAGGATTTTTAGAAAGTGTAGGTACAACTTAAAGTTGTACCATTAGTATAGGTACAATTTTGAGTTGTACCATAAAGGGATTTGTTAGAAAGTGTAGGTACAACTTTAAGTTGTACCATCGTATAGGTACAAGTTTGGGTTGTACCATAGAAGGATTTGTAGAAAGTATAGGTACAACTTAAAGTTGTACCATGGTATAGGTACAAGTTTGGGTTGTACCATAAAAGAATTTTGAGAAAGTGTAGGTACAACTTAAGGTTGTACCGGTAGTATAGGTACAATTTTGAGTTGTACCATATAGGAATTTGTTAGAAAGTGTAGGTACAACATTAAGTTGTACCATAGTGTATAGGTACAATTGTGAATTGTACCATAGAAGATTTTTTTGGAAAGTGTAGGTACAACTTTAAGTTTAGTGTAAAGGTACAACTCTAGAAAGTGTAGTTACATCTTAATTCCACGACTGTTATTTTGCCAGAATGAGCTGTGAGAACGTTTGAATGGCAGCTGTGTGTTTCAATTTCACGTGAGATTTTGACGGGCGTGACAATGTCAAGTAGTAGCCGTGAAATTTCCTGGGATAGTGAGAACTGCTCTTTGCATCTCACGGGACATCTCACGGCCATGATATTTGCCTGAGGAATGAAGCACTGCTTTTTACATCTCACTTGAGTATTTTACGGTCGAGATTACCAGTATAAGGTGTCAGATTTCCAGTAGGAGACTTTCACCTGTTTAACTATCCCGTGTACTTATTATAATGGTGTTTCAAACAGAATGGACTTTTTTCCAGAACTTCAAACTTATGAAAAAGATGATTCATAATGTTCTCTAAAGCTTGACACGAGTATTACATAGATTTA